TGAGGTAGAGTTTAAGTGGGAAAAACAACACTAGTCTGCCTTTGAACTTATCTAGACCACTAACACCTGTACCGCTTGTGAAAAATAAAACTTTAATTTTCTATATATCCACCGCAAATGAGTCCATAGGATGTCTGTTGGTGTAGGAAAATGATAGAATACAGGAGCAAGTTGTGTATTATTTGAGTTGTTGTTTGACCTAGACCGAAGTGAAATATTCTTCGGTCAAAAAATTGTGTCTTGCTCTCTTTTTTGCTGCAATAAAGTTAAGACATTATTTGATTTATTTTGAGGTTTATTTGGTTACTAAGATTGATGTTGTCAAATGTATGTTGTCCCGTCCTTTGTTAAGAGGCCAAATAGGTAAATGATTCTGGTCTTGTCTGAATTTAATCTAATATACATACCACAGAAGGTTGTCAAAGAACAGGCACTGACAGACTTTCTTGTAGATCATCCATACCTAGAAGTGGAAGCCGATGAGGAAAAAGGGATTAACTTGTTTTCAATAAGTTTAGTTCTTTGGAAACTTATTTTCGATGGTTCTAGCATAGAAACCATGTCTGGAGCTGGGGTCATGATAATCTCCCCTTCTGGGCTAAAAACATATATGTCTTTCCAGTTGGATTTCAGTTGCACAAATAATCAAACAGAATATGAAGCTCTAATTATTGGCCTCAAGATGTTGGTGGAGCTTAAGGTATCCATCATTGAGGTTATAGGGGACTCACAACAAATTTTGAAGTAGTTGTCTGGTGAGTACAAATGTACTAACCTTGCTTTGACCCCTTATTTTGACTTGGCTGTGCAATTATTAGAAGAATTTGATGATGTGTCTATTAGACATGTGTCTAGAGACCAGAATTATGAAGCAAATGAAATGGTCCAAATTGCTTTAAATTTGCGAATTCCTAAAGGTGTGATACAAAAAGTTATAATTGTTGAAAAGCACAGTCTACCATCAATTCATCAGCGTGGGATGATAGTTTCTACCTGTAACATTAATGTTACCTAAACATACTGGCACTTTTCAATTATTCAGTACCTTAAAGATCAGGGCACAAGGTATCTAGGAAAACCAAAATGCAAGCTCTCAATTATGTCTTGATTGAGGATGTGCTTTATAAGAGAGGCCATGACGAACTATTGTTGTGTTGTCTGGGCCTAGATGAAAGTTTCCAAATGTTGTCTAATGTCCATAATGGGATATGTGGCGCACATTAGGCTGGGATCGAAATGCACTGGCTGATTTATGGATATGGCTTCTTTTGGCCATCTATCTTAAAAGATTATATCACTTATGCTAAGGGCTGCAAATCTTGTCAAGTCCATGGGCTACTTCAAAGAGTTCCAACCTATGAACTCAATCCAATTGTGAAGCCGTGGCCATTTTGAGGCTGGGCCATTGACTTGATTGATAAAATGTACCCTCCTTCATCAAAAGGTCATTCATTTATCATAGTGGCCACGAATTATTTTACCAAGTGGGTGGAGGCTAAACCAATGAAGAAGGTAGATCAATCTATGTAATCAAGTTTATCAAAGAGGACACCATTCACAGGTTTGGTTTGCCAGAAATAATTACTACAGATCAGGGCACAGTTTTTGTTAGCCATCAAGTGGAGGTGTTCGCAAAGGAAATGGGTTTCCATTTGCTTAATTCTACTCCACATTATGCACAAGCTACTGGCAAGTTGAGGCTTCCAACAAGGTGGTGATTAATTTACTTGAAAAAATAGTGGATGACAATCCCGGACGTTGGTATGAATTGTTGTGTGAAACACTGTGGGCTTATAGAACTTCAAAAAGGAGTTTAACCAAAATGACATATGGCCGCAATGCAATTTTACCAATGGAGTTAATAGCCAGGTCTTTAAGAATAGCAATTCAGCATAATCTCCAGTCTAGGGAATATGATGAGGCCATGATGCTTGAGCTTGAGTACCTTGAAGATACACGTTGAATAGCCTTGCACAAATTGCAAGCTCAAAAGCTCAAAATTGCAAAGTCTTACAACAAAAGGGTGAAAAGTAGTTGGTGACTTGGTCTAGAAAGCAATTCTACCTCTCGGCAAGAAAGATCACATGAGGTGTTGAGAGGAGGAGCTTATTGGTTAGAGTCACTTGATGGAGAGCTTCATCCTAGAAAAAGCAATGGAATTTATCTTAAACCTTATTGCCTTACAATCTGGGAAGCAAGAGGAATGGAGTCCCAAGAAGCTGTTTGAGCCAGGTTCACACTTCTTTTTGTGCATAATTAAATTGGGTTTCTTTCATTTATTTCACTTTGAATGAGAGCAATATTGATCAAGCGGTCATGATTGGTTGTGGATAGTTGTATGTGCATAGACAGAGTTAGCTGTGAAAAAGTTAGGAATACCTGCTATAATAATTCTAGAAATTAGGTGGATTTTGCACATGGCCTTTGCAGTTTTAGAAGGAATAATTCAAAATTCAAACACTTAGATTTATTCCCATAAAACCAAGTGTTAGGGGGCATTGTTTACACCTAAAAATAAATCAATAGGGTAAGGTCATGTGTAAAGATTAAGCCGAATCTTTAAGTAGAGTAATTAAGTTAGGTTAGGTTGAATTGAGCTAGGCTAATTTAGAATTTAATGGCCCAGACAAATTTTTAAAGAGGTTGGATTTTAGGTGGCAGAAGATAAGTTAGTTTCTGGTGGTTGAGTTTGATCTAAATTAAGAAGTTGAGGGTTTTTAAGAGAAGAATATTACTAGGGTTTTGTTGAAGATAAAATTGAATAAAAAACTGTCAGCTGCTAGACAATTACCCAGATGTGGAGTCCCCACTACCCGTTCATGGTGGGAAGAAGGCTGAAAATCGAGGAGGCTTCCTAGCACCGAATAAAAGGAAAACAAGAGAATACACATAGCCAGACGACCTACTCTACATAAACTGCCCAGTGCATATTTTTTTTCAACTTTCAGACTGTTCTTCCAGATTTTAGCATACTTTCTAGATTATACTACAAGATCAATTCCTGTTCATAACTTTAGTTTAGGTTTTTCCATCCTTGTTTGTATTTTCCCTCGAAAATTGCAACTTTAGTTAGTTTTTAAGAATTTAGAAGCGTTTTAGCCTTGAAAATGGGTCTGCCCTGTTAAATTGGTTAGCTTTTCTTTCTCTTATGAATTCATCTTTATTATTTGTTTATGTAAATAGGTTGAATGCTTTCTACCTTCTTTTCTTGGTTTTTGCACAACTGCCAGACTTACAACTAGCTTAATTTCAATTTCCAGATTAAAGTTTAATTTTACAAGTTTTTAGACTCTGGTTATGTTGTAGATTTTCATTCAGACTTAGCAATCAAGTACTTCAATTATTTTTATTTTAAATCTGCAAGTAATTAGTTTAATTGTTATGGACTGTGTAGTTGAAATCATTGTCTATGATTTACATATTTTGTTGTCTGTGAGTTTAATTTTTGTGGTATGTTATTTTCTTTTATTTATTTTGTGTTAGCTTAATTGCCTTAGGATATTGCGTTTATTTTAGAATTTGTAGTTTTTGTTACACTTTTATGGTTGTAAAGTCTTTGGAGGTATTCAAGACAATTAGTAACTCATTTTACAAAACTTCACCATCTATTTTGCAACATTGTCTAAGGCACAACTTATTTTACAAACGTTCTTTCTAGCCATCCTTTGGGAGATCGACTGTTGGAAAGGAGAAGGGTTATCTGGAAAATCCTATTTTCTTGTTTTTGGACAAAACAAGTGGCACGCCTAATTCTCATGCTCACGTGGTTAAGGCCGGCTAAGGATTTTTGGGAAGACAAATACCAATTATCTAAATAGTTCAATGATAATTTTTTTAATAAAAATGAGAAATATTTAATTTAAATAGCATAATATACAGATGAGATAGATTAAGAGAGTAGTGAATTAAAAAATAAAAAAAAAAGTTACCTTTTATTATGTAACTTAAAATCAAAATATATATGTCTTCTAAGTAATAGTGCAACACTTTTTGACTTTTGAGGGTTTTAAAGAAGAATTACAGTGTAAATAAAGGAGTGAACTACTTGAATTATGAAGGACATAACGTCTATTAAATTTTAAAATGTGACATCAACAATTAAAATGTAATAATAACCCACTCATATATGTGATGTTGTCAATGATTCCAAACCCACCTCTCCTCTCTTTAGTCTTTGGTAATCATTCTATTGATAATAACTTACAATCAGTATTATCTTTTTCCCTTCTTTTTTTTCAAAATAATCATAAAAAATTAAATACCTAAACAGTGAATTTTTGGAAGTATAAAAATGGGTGGACCATCCTGTCGGTTCGTGAGTCACGGTCTTAGCCAAGGGCTGGTAGCCTGGTAGATTTCTCTCCTCGTCTACGTTCAATAAGAGAATTATAATACGAAACTGACCATTGTATCTTGTTAAGTGACTACTACTATTAAGCTTCTGATTAGGTAATTAATTATATATATATATACACTTATAGTTCAAATTGTAGAACATAAACTATTGTATCAGTGATATTCATGATTATAGGATTGGAGGCTTTATTTAATTCTAATCGCTGATGTTGTATTAAATTGCAAAACACCATTACTTTTTATTTGGTTGGACAATATTATTCCCTAATGGGTTTCGGTGGTTGCCAAATTTCTTTCTCGCAATCATTTCTCTAACCATACTTTGAGTCTGTTTGGTATACTTGTTAAAATTGAAAAAATTTCAGATAACATGTAACGAATAATAAATAATAGTAATGGGTAGTAGATAATAGGTAGCAGGTGGTGGATGGTAGAAAGCAGGTAGTAAATAATAGATAATAGATTTGATTAATATAACTGTTTAGTTATATAATAATTAACTGTTATTATTTAAAATTAAAT